TTGTATTGCGAGCAAAATTCATAGAATTTAACACTTCTTTTTTATAGAGATTGCAAAATAAAACTTCAAATCAAATTGTATTGTGTATTATTTCCAACTCATATTTTGCTCATATACGAGTAGCTGAAGTGTAAATTAAAAACTTTGGATTCTATAGCAATCTGAAGGGATCTAAGAATTGGAAAATGTGGTATATTTTAATATTATTTTCTTTCGAATTAAAAAATAGTTAAATTTTTACAAATTTTTCAAAATTTGCTTAAATTAACCCTCGTTTACTATACACTGGTGTAATCTACCCATCATTTAAGCAGAATTACATGCAATTTCCAAAAACATTTAGTTGCCAAGTAAATGTCCAATTATTCTAATTTTGATAATTAAATTTAACTTTGGATTAAAAATGTATTGTAGATTTAATTGTGTGGTAGTAGAAGATAGATTATTTTTGTTTAATTTAAAAAAATATCCTTAATTATATAATTATGTAAAATGAAAATATAATTTATATAACAAAAACAAAACACTGTTTATAATTGCTTTTTTAACAAAAGTTATTGTATACATTCATGAATAATAACAGCGTTATAGGAGAAAGTATAGTAGTCGAGGGTTAATTAAAAAAAAATTACATTTAGGTACGAGCATAGCCAAAATTTCATTAAAACTATATTTCAATTTAAAACTTACATAAAATTGAATAAATTTTTAAAATATTAAATAAAGTAATGTTATATTTATGTACATTTTATGTAATTTAATAACAAAAATCAAAAAAAGTATGTATGTATATTGAAAATGAAAAGAAAAACAAAAAAACAAATTGATATTTTCGTTCCAGATGACTTGACATATTCATATTTGAAACTATATACATACATTCTTCAACAAAAAAAAAGCAAAAAAGTACATAACATGTGAAATGTTCCATCCCAAAGGATTTGATAAGGACATTCTCTATTTTTATTTCTTTTTTTTTCAGGAATTTATTTAAAAGAAATTTTTTTTTCTGTTCCATAATTTTGCTATAAAAAATATCAACCTAAAAAGAAATAAAGATTCAAAAATAAGATGAAATATTTCAAATATAAAAATATTTACATTATTTTATAAGTGTATACATACATTAATATATATTTACAGATTGAATAAACAAAAAATAAATAACTAAAACAATAATATTCAGATATGAAAGACAAAAAACATGACGTGCCCAATATTTTTTTTATGAATATTAAAATAAAAATGTTTGACAAAAAAGGCATATCTCAAAATGCAACCAAAACATATATGTACACTTGTGTATGTACATATGTAAGTACATATGAAATGATACTCATATTAAATAAATATTATAAATATAATAAAATAATAATGGCAATAGCATAAAGAAAACACAAAAAAAAAAGATTTAAATTTTATATCCGGTTAAAAATGTCATAAACGTAACATCATTTCATTCAATCTCGGTTGTCCATTTCCTTTTTTGTTCTTCTTTTTTTAATTTTATTTAAAAAAAAAAAATTATTTTTATTATTTAATTTTTATTGTTTTTATACGAGTACATTAAATTTAAAAAAAAAAATTTACTTGCACCGAAAAATGTTATTACAAAGTTTAATTCTGATTCATCATTAATTAACGGTATGTGAAAATTTTGTTGTACTTGTATGGGCCCCGTTTTACCCTGTTCAATATCTCACTTAATTATTTGTATTAATTCATTTGTATTCTATTCAAACGAAAAATATTTCTTAAATTAAAATTTTTTTCTTCAAATTTCTGCTTCTCAATACGCCAATTACCGTTGTCAGAAGTATTTGATGTGAGTACAATACTCGTATTAGTTTTTTTTAACTAATTTAGTTTCTTCGAATAAATTCTTCGAAATTTATAATAATTAAAAAAAATCTGATTTGGTCAGCACATAACCGACGGGAATGTGTATTGTCTAAATTAGTAAAAGTATATTCCAGAAGATTACGAAAATGCGTTTTAAACACTTCTTTACAGTTTTAAAGACACGAATAAGCTATTAGTTAACATACCAAGAAAAATGTGAATTTAGCTCTTAATAGAGTTTCATTTTGTGCCCATTTCATTTTCTTTTCATGTATTGTAGTTTTTTTAAAACCATCGATTATTGTAAGAGTATGAAATTTTAAAAATATTGCAATTGATAAACACATTTATGTCAAATTGTGGATGAACACCTATGGGGTGATATGATAAAAACCTACAGCTATTTTGGTTATTGTAAAATATTTGCACAAAAATTTATGCACCCTTAGTTGTTAAATATTTAAGATGCTTACATTTTTTTACATATTTATGGAAATTTTGTAAGCATATCAAATATAAATTTAATTTTATTTTACATTTTAATTTTTTTGACCCCTTGTTTTCCATATTCTTCTTCTTCTCCTAGCGCTACATCCCGTTGTGAAATTTGGCCTCCCTTACAATTTCCAATCCGTCCAACCATCTAACCCGTGGTCTGTCCCTTCCTCTATTTAACAATGGCTTATTCTCAAAGATTCGCTTTTGTTTGCGATCCTCAGGATTCCGTGCTAAGTGGCCAGCCCATCTTATTCTTTGTGATTTGATGTGTTTTACAATATCTTCGCCATGTTTTCCATACTATTCAATAATAATTTTGCTGTTATTTTCCATTTGTTTGTTTCTCCCTTTCAAATATTAGCCATATTCATTTGTTAGCTAGTTTTTTCGAAAATTCTTTTTTATTAAATTCTATACACATTTTTGCTCTTGCTATGGAACAAAATAATTTTTAATAAATTCTGTCTTGTAAATGGAGTAATGCTCAAATAATTGATTCTATAAAAAAACTCAAATAATTATAAAAGTCTCAGTACCTAAATTTTTAATTATAGCTTAAAATATAGTATTTTTTTTTGTATGTAGATACTATTTTAGATCAAATATAATTTAACTATAAACATTCCTCCTCAATTCATCACGATATAAATTTTTTTATTTTCCAATTTTCTCGATTTGAACTGCATTTATAATTCACTCAGTTTGCGTAAAGAACAGCTATTCCGCTTGCATTATGACCAATAAAAGAATAGTAAGTGAATTTCCAAAAATATTTACAACATTACAGATCCAAGGAAAAAAACAAGATTATAACAAAATACAATACTATTGCTTAAATTTTCATTAATTATAATTCGCCATAGCTTTTATTATTATCATTAAGATTTTTAAGGAAATTAGAAGAATAAATTGCATAAGTTCAGGATGAAACAGTCCCTTTTTCCTATATTATAATGTAGAGTAATCCAATGTTTCGTTTTTAAAACAAGAAGCAAAATGGAATTTAATTAAAGTTTCACAAAATAAATTGATTTAGATACAATGGTTATATTATGAGGTAGTTGGTAGAAAGTGCACAACGGTTTGAAGTTAAAGCAGTAAAGTAAAAAATTTAAGTATGTAAAAATATATAAGGAAAAAAAAGTAATTGTTCCTTTTATTTTCAGTACATAAATCTGATTTTCATTTGCCTATAAGATATATATCCTTTCATATACAGTTGTATATACATATATATATATATATATATATATATATATATATATATATATATATATATATATATATATATATATATATATATATATATATCCTTTCATATACAGTTGTATATACATATATATATATATATATATATATATATATATATATATATATATATATATATATATATATATATATATATATATATATATATATATATATATATATATATATATATATATATATATATAAATATATATATATATATATAGATATACCTTGTATAATAAAATGCAGAAACGTAACTATAAATCAAAAGATAACTTTTCCAATTTAACTATAGAACAAATCTGTCATGTTTTTTAACTAAGGTTTCCTATTCATTTCCTTTCTTTTCTTCCCACATTTATTTTATTTTATTTTCTTTTATTAAATTTTTATTATAAAAATAAAATTTATTTAATGTTATTTTCATTTTGGTTTTTTCCATTTTTCCATATTTTCCACTTGTTTACCATTCAAAATCAAAATGGAAAGAAAGAAAGGAAAACGCAGAAAATCCTTTTATTACCGCTATAGTGCCTGATTTATTTCTACATAGATTAGAGAGCATGAAAAAAAAAAGTAAAAAGAAAAATTTTGTCAGTTTTTTTAGAAATAAAAATAAATTTTATAAAAATTGAAAAAATTCAAGAAAATTTTTGCCTCTCACCTAACCTAAAATATATTTTTATTTTAAAAATTAATTTAAAATTATAAAACATAATATTTCCATTTTCATATAATATATAATAAACTTAATAAACAAGAAAATATTTGCATACGAATATATGCATTGGGGCTAAATTATAAAAGTCCTTCAAAGTCTTTATGAAATAAAAATTACAAATTATCTTTAAAAAACTACGAGTATACACGAGCTCACAACGAACAAACCCAACGATCCATTCAAAGGTTTCTAAAACAGTGCATTCTAACCAAAAAAAATTAAGTTGATTAATTGTATTGGTGAAGATCGGCTATCAAAGAAATAATTTCTGTTTAAAATTTTCTTATATCCTATATATTTGAGAAAGCAAGAAAAAGTCAAAATAAATATTAAGTTAAATAAATAAAAATAATTGGGGTCTCTCTAGGTTTACAAAATTTAAAAAGTGTTTATGGCTTCGATACAATCAGTTTAAACTCTACCGTTTTGGATTTTTCCAATTTCAGTATATGAGTACAAACGTTTGGGTAAACGGAGGAACAGAGGCAACTATAAATGTACATTTTTTCCCAGTCTTATTTAAAAAATGCTAAAAATTGCATAGAATAATTATTTAATACATACTCTTTCAAAAATTAATGCAATCGGAAATAATTCAGCTAAATCCCAGTTCTATTAAACATCAGAAAGTGTTGATTAAAATAAAAAAGCTTACAAAACCAAATCGATTTAATAGGACCTACCGTTATATCAATATAAAATCATAAAATATTGTGTTTTACTTTAAAAAAAAAATAATTTATAATTTTGTACAATCAACTATCATAATCAGCAATTTTGAATGTAAAAAAATAAAAAAAAAAATTCGGAAACATAAAAGGCTACAATTTTGTTATGAAACCAGAATTAGCATCCAAGAAAACTTTATCACCAGTTTTGAAACAATTTGTTGCATTCTTTGCTCCAATAATACATGGTAAACCATATTCTCTTGCAACAACAGCTCCTACAAAAATAATTTCATTTTATATCAAAATAAATGCAATATTCACACAATTTATATTATATTTCAATGGTACTTTATTAGAGTCTTACCATGTGATATTAAACCACCTAATTCAGTAACAAGTCCTCCTAAAATCGGAAAAACTGGACTCCATGCAATATCGGTTGCAAGTGTTATTAAAATATCACCACTTTTAATTTGATCAATTTCTGTAATATCTGTTAAAACACATGCTCTACCTTCAATTATTCCATTTTGTGCTGGTAATCCTTTAATTTTTGATCCACTTTCGAATTTCATATTATTATTAGTATTGGTAACAATTGGTTTTGGCAATCCCATAATAACGTCAGGGAATTTTATCTTATTCCATGTTTTATATAATTTTTGACGTCGTATTGCTTTTTGTACATACTCAATTTCATCATTATATATTAATTGTTGTAATTCGTAATATGACAAGAAAAAAATTAAATCTTTTTCTGGAAGGATTCTTTCAATTTGCATCAATTCTGATAGCTTATTAAAATGTTTTCGTAAAATATTTATAAAATAAATTAATTTATCTTTACTTGCTTCACGTTTTTGTACTGAACTACGACAATATGGTATTAAAAATCCTAAGAAACATCTATAAAAAATAAATATTCAAAAATAATTTCATAAACATCGTAAAAATATATGCGATTACTTTACCTCGATAAGTTACTTTTAGGTGTTCTTAAATCCTCAACGATATATTTTGGTTCTGTTTCCTGAAATACATGACCTGGATTTACACATGCTTGTTTTAAGTTATCCTGTATCATTTTAATAATATATTCAACGTTATTTTCCCATGGAATCGAATTTAAGCAAAACTAATGAAACGAATTAAAAAAGAAAAAATTTTATAACTAAAAAAATTATTAAAAGTATTTTAGTCAAATCTAATTTATGGCATATTAAAAAAACAAAAATTCCTTTATACCAAATAAAAACGTTTGCTAATACATTGAGAGATTCATTAATGAATCAATCGTTCACTTGGTTGCACACTATCGTTTAGAGATTTGAAAATGCTTGTAAAAATTTGCGACTACTTTCAAATCTCAAGAAAAACTGTGATTTTATTCAATTTAGCAACATCGTTCAAGAACCCAAACACATGTCACTTCCCCACACCTTTTAAACCTGATCAACATTCAGTAATATTTTTAACAAAAATACATAATATCGGTAGACTTATTTTGGTCATATCACACTAAGTTTACACTAAATCACACTAAATTTAGTTTTCTGTGAAATTTATGTTGAACATTGCATTAAAAATCTAAGAATTCTTCTTCAAATCAGGTTCTTAAAACCTGATTTGAACCTTTTGCATCTTAAAGAAGGTTTGGCACCTGATTTTTTACCAAAATTTTAATTCGCAAAATGATGGTGCGTAAATTTTGTGGATTGAAATTATCATTACTAGTGTTATTATTATGAGTTAAGGACAGTTTTTTTTGTTTCAACAATTAACGAAAGAAATTATATCAAATTAAATTCTAATTTTATAGTACCTCATTTAGGCAACGATGTCCATATGTTCTTAAAAATTGATTATATAATCTATATGCAACTGGACTATTTTCTTCAAGCCATAATGGTACCTCAGATATATTCAAATTTAAAAATTCTCTCACATTACTTTGCAAATAAATCGTATTAGCAATTTCATCAATTTTCTTTGGTATTTCCGCTGAAATTACACCTTCAGACGCATTCATTATTTTTTGTAAATCGCTAATATGATCTGCACTAAAATCTAGAAAAAGGAATAATACTTATTTATTAATTGCATAAATCGCATTTTGGACATCATTCAGAGCATATTTATGATAATTACCCTCACTATCGCCTAGTAAAATATTTAAGCAAAGTCCTTGCATACATGAATTTGCTGTCGATGTATTCATATGATGAAGCATAACATCAGGTAAATTCTTCTTAATTATTATATTAATATCCATTAATAGTTCTTTGGAATTTTTAAAAGAATTCAATTTATTGTTTAAATTTATTAAGCGAAAATATTCAATAGCATTATTTGCTTTTTCCAAATTTGTTTTAGAGGTAAATGGAGACTAAAAAAATGAAGTAAGTTAATATTATTAACAAAAAAAAAATGCATAAAATTTTTACCAATAACATTAAAAGAAATTGGAAATATTCACTCCACTCTATAAATGCATTACGCTTATAACTCATTCTAAAAATATAAAAATAACGAAATTATCATTTTTATAGTTGCATGAAAGCTTCTTCATTAATTTACAATTTCATTTCAGAGGTTAGCTCCAAAGATGCCAACATTCCAAAACCTTGAACTTTTTCTTTGGAAGTAACTTTACCTGGCTTAAAGTCTATGAAAAACTACAATAAATTCAAAACATTTTCAATAGAACAATTTTATTAAGTACAATTTATAAAGCTCTTACCGTAACTAAATCCATAAAAACCTGTTGGTAAGCCAATAGTAATCCCTTAGTATTAAGTAGTTTTTCAAATTCATCACTATTTTTATGCAACCAAATCAAATTTAAAGCTTTGATTACTGTCGACGCTGTTAAATTATCCAAAGCACCAGTAAGAACCTTAAAAAAAAACAGAATTTTTAAAACAAAATTTAATATATGAAAAAATTGTAATTCCAACCTCTCCAACATTTCCTCTCGTTAGAATTTGATTACAACTCATCATCGGACTGTCAAATTCATGCAGATATTCCCAGTCACTAAATTGTTTTAATGTTGTTATAGGACGTGATTGTAGCAAATAAATGGTATTCTGAAATAATTGAAATAAATTAGACCCAAAATTGGTATTTTATACAAAGTATGTAAAAAACTCTTACATTAACAACCCCCCATTCAATATCTTGAGGATCGCCATACATTTTTTCTAAATTTATCCCAATTTTTGCTAAATTCAAAATGATTTCATCTGGGCAACATGCAACATTTTCCATTTTATTTTCAACTTTTTTTACTCCACCTAAATATAATTTAATTTAAAATTTATAGAAATTGGGTCAAATTCACAAAAATTATTTTACCTGTGTCATTCAACACTAAAGAAAAAGCCTTTTCACCCAGCATTCTTTCTTTAATTTTAAATTTTGTAGAATCATAATTTTTATCAATAATAAATGTATCAGGTTCAACGACACCAGAAACAACAGTCTTTTTAATTGACAGAAAAAAATAACATATTAAATTTCTTGGTTCAATTTCATTATTCAAGTAAAACAAGTACCTCTCCCAAACCAAAATTAGCTGTAACAAGCATATCACATGAGTTTTGTGCAATAGAATGTTTTGTAAATAAAACACCAGAACATTCAGATGGTATCATAATTTGTACAACAACTGCCATATCAGCTATTGTTGATTGAGAATGCTTTCGACGATATTCAACGCTACGATATGAATATAAAGAAGCCCAACACAGTTTTATGGCTTCCAAAATGTTTTCTAAACCACGGACACCCAATATCGTTTCATTTTGCCCAGCACTTGAAAATTCTTTACCATCTTCATCAACACCAGATGATCGTACAGCAAAACATGGATTTTTATGTTCCAGAGACACTGTTTCGAATGCTTTTCTTATTTCTGTACCGATATTTCTGTCTAAAATACTAGTTGCAAAGAGATCTTTTACCCTGAAAACAAATTGTATTAAAATAATTGATATGCATATTTCTGCTTTAGTTTAGTCTCACTTTTCACAATATTTTTCTAAACTTCCATCTAATTTTCCAGAACAACAATCTTCCAAGTTTCGTAGCTCAACATAAATTTCTGAATTCGTAAGCAAAAATTGACGAAGTGCTGATGAGCTAACTACAAAACCTTCTGGTACTTTAAATGGTGTTAAATTTTCTAAATCCCTACTAGCTGCGGTCAGTAATGCTAAAGAAGCACCTTTTCCACCTGACACCAATTTACTTTGAGCTTCACTTTCACTAAACGATAATACAAATTTGTTTCGATCGGGTAGTAATGTATTAAATACAAGCTTTCTAAACCGTTGTGGTTGCTTTAATTTGTTATCATATAATGACGGTTTGTACGGATGCCATGATGTAAACACTCCTAGTCCGGTTGTACCATTAAGATCTACAATAACATAGGAATTAAAAAAATAATTACATTTTAAAGATTAATAAAAAAGGAAAAAATAATCAATTTAATAATTTACCAAATTTTGTTGGAATATTTATAATACGCCATTGGAACGGTGAACCATTTAATAGCTTTATAAATTTACTTTGTTCCAAATATAAAAATGCCTTAAAATTTCTTCCACCAGCTTTAAAATGTATGGCAATACGTTGCGGTATTGTTTTAATTTCTTCAGCTACATTAAGTATTCTTAAATCTGTCCAATCGATTGGATAAACTTTATCATTCTCAAGTCTTACGTTACCAAACTGAACACTATGTATAAAAGATATATGAACATCATTGAAAATATTTAAATGAAAATTAAAAATTTCGTTAATTTATATCTTACTGAGTAAGGGCACTTTTGTAACTAATAGCACCGATATTAAATATGCATCCTTGCGAGCATACACCAAATATAGAAACTTGTCGTCTTAAATTAATATTTTGAAATGCTTCCCAACGTCTTTGTCTTAAACCAGGTAAATTTAATTCTTTTACTTCATTATTAGGTAAAAATATTTGTCCTAACATACGACCAAATTGATCATAGCCACCATTTCCAGGAATATTTCTAAAATATAATATAATATTAATATGAAGGTATAAAGTAAAAATTTTGATTTAATGGAAAGCATAAGTCACATGCTAACATATATTATTTTATTACTATTTGACAGGTTATTGCAATTTTCAATTATACAAGGTCTGTTTGTTTACAAAAATTTAATCGAATTTTTAAAAATTTGGTAAATTTTTGTGAAAAATCGTTCACGAACTTATTTACAAATTTTTATTTTTCCCATATTTTTTCGAACTCTCAAACTTTTAAAAAATAAACAAACAGACCTACTAATGTTATCGCTTTTATTGTACTCGTAATAAAACTTTTTATTTATTAATTTTTGTTAACTTAATAAAACTTACAAGATATTTGGCCAATTACCATCTTTCCATGTTTCTGTTGCCAGCCCATTAGCCATTAATTTTGAGCTCCAATCCAATGGCCAAAACAATGGTTTATTAGAACCAGTAAAGCTGTTTTAAAATTTTTAAAAATCACAACGGTAATAATTATTATCAAAATATGTGTTTAATGATGTTCATTTATTTTATGAAAAAAACGGTGTTGCCGTTGTTATGCAGATACAATTATGAATATCTGTTTTATGCACAATACAATACCACAGTTCAGTAAATTTACTTTGACATTCATAATATTAAAAAGAATCAAGTAGACTATGGATTTGGTGTGCACATGGAGAAGCGTCTATACTCGTATTTATCTATAATTCGTTACTCTTATACTGCAAACCCCTTACAAAACTGATTAATATACTCACAACAATACACTAATTAAGAACATATTGGGATATCTCAGTTTTATAGAAAAATCTTACAAACAAAAGTGATTAATTAGAATAATCAAATTTAAATAAAGCATATTGTTGAGGTAACTTAATATGAGGTAATCTTTGGTACCTAATATACAAGGTAAAATGTATACTCGTATTAGGTACCAACTTGTATAACAAGGTTGCTAACATGGTCAGAAACGTTAGTTAGTTTCTTTTTCTTTTAATTTTTCATAAGAATCGAGGTACTTTAGGTATACTTAAAAACTGGAATGAACTTTTCTGTTTCTTATTCATTATTTGTAAGATAAGTAAATATCGACTCAAGCAATATGCTTTAAATAATCAATTATTTAAATTTCGGCACATAACATAACACATGAATATTAAAAGTTATTAGTAAATTAACTTACAAAAAATTGAATTTTATAAATTTCAATTCACTTTCAACGATATCATCATTAATTTCATTACGAATTTTTTCTCTTAAATAACCATTATATGTTATACGCCACCTGACGAATGGTTCTAAACATTCAAATTCTAAACCGGCTGCTTTAAATGTACCAGGTTTCACTTCATATACTCTTGTTATTGGATGTTCAGGTAGCATATAATATTTATTACCAGCATTTATATTATTATTTTTATTTTTTAATCTTATCATAATCCATAAATCAGCAATACGATGTCGTAATCTTGTCATACGTAATAGTACTGAATTACCAATTTGATCGGTACCATAAAATAATATCATATCTGAGCTACTTTCATTTTTTAATAATAATGGACGTTCTGATAAATTTTTATTTAAATTTTCTTTTAATTTTTCACGTTTATTCAATTTAATTTTATTTAATTGTCTTTCAGCAAACCATTTTCTAAACACGAAATTCCAATCTATAAAAATAATATAAAGTAATGTTAAACACAATTATGATATTATTAATTTATAATTTAATCTAAACTATTTTTTGAAATATATTATATAATCAATACGAAAAACAAATTATCTCACCTGGATTTTTATAAAAATTGGATTCCTTTTTGATTTTTATTTGAAAATAAAATATATATACAACAACAGATGCCACCAAGATGGCAATTGGCTCCATTAACCCCAAAATGTCAATCATTATTACTTGTTATACGTTACTATACTAATTATTTAATTTCAATTAATTATTTTATTAAGAAAAAAAATTCATTAAACATGTAACCTTTGACCGATAGATTAGAATAAAATTAAACCAAATAAGATTGACTACAAATCTACCGAGTTTTAATTCGCTTTTAACTCCATTGCTTCCGATCCGAAACTAAAAGTTTTCTTAAATATTAAATAAAGAATTCTCATTAAAAATAATCTATACACACACTCAATTATAATATTCTGATAAGAAATCTGATATTTTCTTCCAAAAGAAATACAATACTTATGTATATATTGTAGATTATTTTATTAATATTGATATGTAAGTAAAAAATTGTTTTGATAACGGTAAAATTGAAAGCCGGTTGAATACTTTATTTGTAATGTTCTTGTAATTAACCGATACTAATATCAGTTTTAAAAATAAACTTCACAAATATTTAATGTTAAGCAAAAATGTTGCCCAACATTTTGTAATGTTGCATTAAACAATTATTGCAAAACGGCTAGCAAGCCTTAAGTCAACATACATACCTAGAAGAAACAAATTTGTTTCTTAGTAGAAGTTCATTCTCTGAGATTCGATTTCTCTTGAAAGTTTGCAGTTTCGTTTGTAGTAACTGCGAACAGTAAAGTTCAAGAAATTCGTGAAACTTTGGTTTTAAGTTCCTAAATTTCATGAAAAATTTTCCACCTATAGATTTTTTTAAAAATTATAAGTTAAAATTCCAAATTCTTTGAACTTTAAAGTCATATGATTCCGAAATCTAAAGATTATTGTAGATATTCAGATAAAGGACCTTATTCTGAGGTTTCCAAATCATATTTAATAATGCATATAAATATCAAATCATATAAATAAATTTCAAAATTCAGTGCATTTCGATACGACACACCTTGTATACCGGTTCCACCGCATTGTACCCTCGAAACAGAAAAGTAGAGAAGAAGAAAAAACATTCAGAGTCATATTTATTTTTGTACCCTCTTTTTTAAGTTATGATGCTTCATTCAGTTGATATCAGCGGTTACCGGGATTTCTTGAAATTTAATATGTCAGTTTTGTTTATTGAGGAAACTAGTTGACAAATTTTTCATGAAAATAAGAGCCAATACCAAAACAAAGTTTCACTGAGAACCATTAATCGTATGTTAAATCATAATCTGATGCAAATTTGAAGTGGAATTGAATTCTGACACCATAAAAAAATAGAAACATACGGGTACGAATCTGATTATCATCAGATTATCTGCCAGATTTTTAAAAATAACATTGCGGAAACTAAATCTTTAAAAAAGTTTTGTCACGATCAGCTGTTTTTTTTTTTTTTAATTTTTGTTTCCAGTTTATAGATTACAAATTTACAAATATTAAAAACATTGTCCTGAAAAGTTTGACATAAGAGTATAAATAAAATCTGAAGTGTAAATGCTCATTAGATTATTTGAGATTAAATCGTAAATTTAATATGATGTGTATCTGATGTACTCGCACCGAAAAATTAAATAAAATTCCAAAATACAATAAACATTTTCCACTCATAATATATTAGCAATCTAGATAAAGTTAGACGTCAGTTATTTATTTACACAAATCGTAGTATGCTTCACATCTAAATTTTAATACGTAAATAACGCTGCAATTTGCAACTGTCATATTTTGACAACGAAACGGAAATGAATTTGAAACACATGTTGGCCATCTATAAAATTCATGTAAACTTCCTTTCTTCTGACAAATTTCATAGCAATAGGATGTAAGAAATATTGCAAAATTTCAAATTTCAATTAAATTTAATTTTATTATTTAATTATTTTAGTTAAACAGCAACATGGCTGTTAGGTACGAAATTTGTATTGGCTTAAACAAAGGTCATAAGACTTCTAAAATCAAAAATGTTAAGTACACAGGTAACAAAAAAGTTAAAGGACTAAGAGCTTCACGAATGAAGTGTGTAAGTAAATTGTTATAAATTTAAAATAAATTTATTAGAATAATGATATTGGGCAAAAGTTAATCCTATTTTTTTTTAGATACAAACAAGACATTTGAAATTCATGAGAGATTTAGTACGTGAAGTTGTTGGTCATGCACCATATGAAAAAAGATGTATGGAATTGTTAAAAGTATCAAAAGATAAGCGTGCACTAAAATTCTTGAAAAGACGACTTGGAACACATATTCGTGCTAAAAGGAAGCGTGAAGAATTGTCCAACATTTTAACTCAAATGAGAAAAACCCAAGCACACACCAAATAAGTTTACTTATAATTGGGATTAAAATCAAAATAAAGGGAAAAGAATTAAAGTGTTAAAAATTTTTTTTAATTAATAATTTATATAGTAGTTTACTTTAAAAATTAATTAAAATTTTCCACGCTAATATTTTTAAACCAAAAAGGATTCGCCTACGAAAAGACTGGGGAATCTTTCGTACCAATTGCTTGATACTTTGTATTTGAAACATATTTTTACTTAAAAATTAACCCGGAACGAGTAACAAACAATAGTTTCTCATACGCATTTACTGTATTTGCATGCTCGTATAAATAAATGTATATAAGAACAACTTATAGTACTGAGAAAAGATAGAAAATTTGACTTTTCAAACCGTTCTTTTGTCATGCAACTAAGTTTTCAAACAAAAGAAAATGGTTTGCTGATATACTTCCCACTTGCAAATAATTTGAGTGCAAAAGGAGTTCCAATGAAAACAAACATTAAAATGTTAAAAAAAAAACTTATAATTCATATTTTTTAATCTACAGCAATTTCCATAACAGGTTCTATAAAGTACGGACCTTCTGCAACATACTTTTTCAATTGCAATAATGTTGAAGTGTCGAATAAATCCGTTTCTGCCAGGACAGAAATTACTTCAAACTTAATAAACTTTACATTTTTATCAAACTCCACACTTCTGTCTAAAAGAAATTCTAATAAACTTGCAGTATTTTTAACAGCATCAACTCCCCATCTATAAGAGCATAGTGTACGTATAAAAGTTAAGCATGATATTTTTATGTCAGGAAAGGGATTTTTACAATATTCCATCAATGCTGACAAATCATGTTCTGAATTTACTAAAGATGAACACCATTTATTTGTAATCAAACTGAAATCATAAACATTTTTTTAAAAATACACTATTTATACGTTGTATTTTTGTCATTTTATATTGACTTACTCGATTCTATTGTTAGGTGGATCTTCATGTGTAAAAACCATTTGTAAAGACGAAAAAACTCTACATTTTACATCTGTTGGTAAATTTCGCAATAAAAATAAATATTCTTCCATAGTTTCTTTCATTTGTTCTGGAAATTTCTCATCTAAAATTATTTTTCCCTCAGCAGGATAAGCTATATTGCCAATGGTATCAAGTGCTACAGGAAGAATGTTAGTATCAATATTAGTGAAACTACTAAATAGATACGAAATAATTTTTGGGTATCCTTCCAATATTTTTTTAGGGTGGTAAAACGCAACTTTTCCAAAAAATTTCATAAAGCCTGGAATTAATAACTGAACTAAAGGGTCTTGTTCAATAGTTTCGATTCGAGCAGCAATCTTGTCAAAGATTTTCTTATCTTCCAAAAACAAAAAACCATGATTTTGTTCCGCTAAGGACACTAATAATTCTAATAGATTCATTTGAAATAGAATATCGTCGGAATCCAGTTCTTTAAGCATGCTAGCAAGGATATCTTGCAGTTGAAATAGCAAACTAGAATCCGATTTTGATAAATTTACTGCAACTTCGTAAACTCTTATTTTAACAACGTCTCTTTCCTCCAATTTAGACTTAAATGCGTCTCTTATAATGGAATTTTCCAATTGTTTTCGTAAAATTATTGACAAAATTTTAATAGCTGGCCCAGCTACTTCAGTTTCATCATCTCCTAAAGACTTCAAAACCAATAATGTAATATCCTGGTCCAGATTCAAGTTATCAGTAAGTCCAACACTTGCGCTATTTTTGGACAAATTTTTATAAATTTCCTCTAAAGCTAGGGCACGTATTTTTGGGTTACGGTGTTTTAATGATTTTATGAGATGTTTGGAAAAATCAGTTCTATTGATATCGAGAGTAGATAAACATAGAGCCAAGATATCATAAACTAATTGTGATTGTTCCCTAAAATCAAAAATAGATGCAATTTTATTCGTCACGAAAAACCTAGATAAGATGAAATTACTCAGATTTATCATAAGCACAATCGTATATCTGTGACTGAGTCAAGAAGTTTGAAGTTATTTCAAATGATGTTGTGGTATCCAAACGGGATTTGATTTCAGTTAAAATTTCAATCTTGTCATCTTCAATTTCTAAATCACCTAATTTTTTTAAAAACCATTGTTGCTCTGCTGCCATATCGAATAAATTTAATTTTGATATTTTCAAATGAATTTATATTTGTGATGACCTGAATTACATTAAAACAAGTTTATTTTATTTTAAATTAATATTCATAACACAAAAAAAACAACAATAGCACAATAAGTGATTGTCATCGTTTGGTATTTTTAGCAGGGATGTGACTTTAAGTTGTAAAATTGTTTTAAATTGTAGTAGAATTCAAGTAAAAAGTACTAAACCAAAAAGAACTTTTCAGCATTGTCTCAAATTTGAAAAACACACAAAAACCAACTCAATGCTTCGAAAAAATTTTTCACGATTTGTTTTTCTTGTAGTATAGCATTTATTGAAATTTTAAAAAACGAACAGAGCCTGGAAGTTTGTTTTAAATCAAATTTTAAATGTTTTTATAACACAAAACTTTAAGAATTTTAACTTTCTTTAATCAAAAATTTGAAAAAAGTCGGCCTTGTGGGAGATTTATGATGTTAAAAAGGGCTCTCTATAACTCCATAAGAATACGTGTAAACTCATCAACTGTGAAATGTCACCCTCTCTTACGGTCAAGGCCTATATTTCTGTCAACTGTGGGTCCAGGCCTTGCAGTTTTGTTATGTCTTATGCATTTTTGTGCAAATGTATGCCATATGCATTTTTCGTATGTTTTTAACAAATTTAATACGTTTTACTCGCAAAACTATAAAAGATAGAGGAAAATTTTATATGGGTTAACTTTTAACTATCATCATGTCGCATAGTTCCCAAGTTATAAACATTTATTTATGTGCAGAAAAAATCTGGTACCTTTTTTGTCAAAAGACTGTAGCTCGAAGACAAGTACATTATATCCATACAATGATTTGAATATGATTTACAGTTGCAGATTAATAATAGAGAATAACTGATACTTAAATAAATCGATAAATAATAACAAAAAAGTTATCGATAAATATCACGTAAATTTATCGATATTATGTACATCGCTACTGCATACTTGCACAAACTGTGCATAAACGATATGAATCATACATATATCTTAAGTTTAACATACTAAAAAATTAAACCTTACCTTCACAAGGTTTAATTTTCACATACTATTTCGAATAAAATTCTGTAAGTGTGATGTCAAACTCCAATAAATATTTAATTGCTTTTTTTATAAAAATTTTATTAATTACAAAATGTAAGTGCAATAACATTACTAATTTTAAATACGCTATAAAGTGTCCGTTCTTAATCAAATGCTATTCTTAACTCATCTTCCTAAAATCTAAAATTTAACTTAAGGTAGGTAGTTTAAATTCAAAAAATTAAAATGAAACAAATGTTTAAAATAACGATAAAATTTTATAACATAATAGAAAAAAATTTAAACTAAAAATCATTATGTTTGTTAAATCACATTTGTCTTTGCACATTAAAAATAATTTATGCGTTTCTAGAATTTTAGTCGGACTTATAATTACAAACTTAAAACATATTTTGAGACGGATTAAATACAATTTGATTTGTTAAAGTACGTGTTTATCAAAATTGACAGCTGGTTTCTGTATTTTTAAGGGTTTCTGGGTTTAGTCAAAACATTTTGAAACTCAATTAAATTCGATTAAAGCTAGTTATTATCCGAACACATAACTAATACATTCGGTTTTTAACATAAAATGTACGTCTATGAATTGTAAGAAAAATTTTATTTTAAACGCTTTATTTCTTTTTCTTATCTTCAATTTTTTGATCTAAATTAAAATTTCTGCTTTTTAGCATACTCTCTACTATTGGATCGGGTTCTACAACAGTATCGCCTGTGTCGATTCGTTTATTGTCAACTGGATATAACCACCTTTGATATAAATATATGATAAAAACAATATCATCCCTAAAACAGGCAACTCTATGAGTTGTTGGCATTGTTATAATAAATGCAAATATGTCATCGATAAACGTGTTAAATGCTTTGTACATGAATGCTCTCCAAGGTAATGCAGCAACAGACTTTAATTTGTAATTAACGAATAGCTGTGGTAACATAAATAGAAAACCGAACGCGTATACACCATTAACTAAAGAATTCAAGGTCCATGAATACCAACTTTTATGAGGTTGATATATCAACGAGTAAACTGCGCCTGAAATGCATAACGGATACAATAAGTAACTTAAATATTTCATTGCTTCTTTATCAAATTGTTGAGTTTCTCGCTCAGCTTTTAGAATACTATCTCGATTTTTTTCTTTTTCTTCTACAACTTTAGTGAATCCGCTCCTAAACGAAAACTGAACTTTTAGTATTTTTTTACATTTCCATATTTCAATAATAGCTGCAATACCAGCTGGAATAAGTACCAACAATGACGTATTTTCGTCCATTAAATATAAAAATATGATGGATTGTGAAAATGCACGCCAAATTGTTGTTCTCATTGATAAACCGGCATAATTCTTTTTGCGTTTCCAAAACAATACATCATTTTTGAATGAAAGAAAATCAAATAATAAATGAACTCCACCAATAAGAACTGTTCCACATAATAAATACACATTCGTATCAGAAAATATTCCTTTAATTTCATCAACATCCTTTTTTGAAAATCCTAATAATTCCATTGATTTTGTAGCATATTCAATTTGTAACATTAAACGAAATTTTCCAATCCCAATTGGGTTATAATGAAACTGCAGTTGCATTTCGGTATCATTTTTAGTTATTTGAACCAGATTTTTCATCCTGGATCTAAAAAAATCGGAATATAAAATTGGAAGAAATTCGTTTTTACGATTGATCCTTAAAAGACGGGCTAATTCTGGTGGAATATCTTGTTTAGACATTGAAATATTATCAGTCAGTATAACGACATTTACTTGCGTTTGAAAATGTGTCACTGGTTTTATATTTTCTACAGCTTGCTTTTTATCATTCGGATCAGACTATACACAAATTATTTATATAAATTTTAAGTTCTATTAGCAAAATAATATAACAGATTTACCTTTTTCTCTCCTAATAAGTTAAATGTTGTTGCTTTTGGTATCATATATTCAGTCAGCTTAACTCTTTGAATTACGGTTGGACCATCTCTTTGCAAAGATCGCCAATCTAATGATTCTCCTTGAAGTGCTAATACTACATGCAAAAACATTGTTCCATTTCGGCGAGTTTTTAATGGGATGTCTACATCATAATTTCTATACAGGTTACAAAATTATTGTAATGCAAATTATTCAAAAGCTAAAAATACTTACTCAAAATAATCCTTTTCGTAATTAAAATTAGGGATTGCTGCAACTTTTTGAACTTCACTAGATAAAGGATTAATAGAAGTTGAAGCGAATAATGCTAATTGAAGTTTTGGTTTTGTATCTAAAAACGATTTGTAACAGGGTTCACTAGAACACTGTATGTTAACAAATAATTGAGACTAAAAAAGAAACAATTGCCAAATAAAAAACGTCAATGAACTTCAATATTTGCTACCATACCATAATCCACATCGAATTACCAATATAAATAAGAAATATTGCTCCTAAAATTGTTGATACAGATGGTATATACATTTTAAAAATTTTAAATTTTCATGCATTTAAATTAATAATATCTTAGTTTTAAAACTTATTTAAGTTTTTTTAATAATTTTAAAAGAATAATTTTTCTTGTATAAAATAACACAGGTAATGAGCTAAATAGTTGCCAACCACCTCCTAACCTTAATTGTCAAAATAGTAATCTATGAAAATCAGATGGTAAATAAATCATTAGTAGGAACGATATAAAACTGAAACATTTTCAATGTTCCATTGCAAAGGATGCGTTTAAAATTCTTTCAATTGGTTATTTTATGATTTCTTTAGTTGTGGGTTGTGTCTGTGATAAATATATAAGTTTTATGATGTTTGATTTTGTTTATATTTTTCTAGCTATTTCGGCCGATCGCAAGCATCTTCATCCGTGAAATGTATAACATTATACAGCTTACTTTGATCTTCAATCAGCGTTACCATATTGATTTCACAAAAAACCTGAAAAATTTCACTAAAATATCTGGGAACATAGGTAATGTCTTTATATCTAACAAGCCCCAATGCTCAGAGAGAAACTTGAAAGCACACCTTATTTGATATGGGTTTTTTTAAATCGAAGTGGCTATTTTTTGAGAAGAAATATTAAAATAAATTCACACTTATTATAAAGCAGGTAAAATTTAGAAAATATATTTGAAAAATCAAAAAAATATATTAATATTTTCATTGATAATTATTTTAAAATTAAAAAAAAAGCGGAAAAACAACAAGCACATCCTTCGCCTTCAACTTTTTATATGTTACTGAAAGCATTTCATTATTTTTAAGTGAACAGCTTTTTTTTCTCATAGGGTAAGTTAACTCAAGATATGGGGAGTAACTGTGGTGTCAAGTTGAAAATATAATTAATGAAAGATAATTCTTAAATATTGATATAAATACATAGTAAAGAAAAAATTTGAAGAGGGAATTAGAAAATAATATCTAAAATACAATCAAATATTATTTGTTAAATACAAATTTTATATACACTTCTAAATTTTACTTCTATTTGTGAGAAAAATTTTTAAAACTTAATATATTACCTAAGTAAAAAAATATTTAAAAGGTTTTGGAAAAGACAATAACATATTTTTATGACCGGATTTGAATATTTTTTTATTTTGAAATAAATGGTATTTTACCAAATGACTCGAAAATTCCGGCTGTAAAATAACAGGTATTTTAAAATTTTTGTTCTTTATGTAATATTCTTTCCGTTTAGAATTAAGATAGGTCATACATACACATGCAGGGACATTTTATAAATAGATTGCTCTTGTTTACCTGCTAATAAAATATGAAAAAAGAGCACAGCAAAATTTTTGAAGCACTCAATATAACATGTTTGAAATAGTTTTAAAATAATTATTTAAAAAAAAAAATTATTGGAAGTAGGTATATACTTATTTATTTTTAATAACTTAAAAACTAACTGAAATTATTTGAAACAATTTTATAAGTAACGTATGAATAATCGAAATGAGATAATTCAAATTGTTGAAATGTGTCAACCTATATTACTTTTAATGACATTTTTGTTAGCCGACACTACTCAACTTACCTTATTGGGAATTACAAAATGTGCATAAAAAAGCATACATCTTTCCTCATTAACATTTGAAACCATACTGAAATATGAATTTGAATTTTTTTTTCATTTTTTCTTTCCTCCTACCTTTCTTTCTTTTTCGCGCAATAGAATTTAAATTGGAAGCTTTTTAAAAAATGTGTATAATATCCTGAGATTTTTTAAAATATTAAACTCTTTTTTACTTAAAAAAAAAGAAAAAAATAATAAAAAATATAACACGATCAGTGGCATTTAAAGAAAAAACCAGTAACGAAGCCAAAAATTCGTCATATTTCGTAAAAAAAATTGAGTATTGGGACTTGTTAAAATAAAGACATTAACATAGGATAAAAACCGGCATAAAATCTGATAAAATATCAACTTTTCTATTTGAGTTGATTACACTTAGTCCGCTCGCGGCTCATTTAAAATGTACTATTTCCATTGGAAAAATAGCTCTCTAATGCGTATTCGAAACAAATTTTCTTTAATCAATACAGGCCTTCCTCATTACCATTTTAAAAAATTCGAAATAAAATTTAAATTAAAAAATTTTCATAGGGTAAATTCATCCGACTCTAAGCATATTTACCTTTTCCTACAAAACTTTACTGAAAAGATTTTCGCTCGTCTAGAATAAATACAAAAAATGTTCGACAAATCAAAACACGTTTGTTAAAAAATGTACGTTCGAAAATCATACCATGGCTTAAGTTCTAAAACATTGTTAAAATTTTTTTTTGTATGCTACAAAAATATATGAAGTTTGAAGAAAATCATAGCATAAAAAGAATAATTTGTTGTAATTGGTTACATTTATGTATTACATACATACATATGTATATAACCAATATAATTTAACAAATAATTCTGCAAAAGTAAAAATTTTTGGTTGTCGAAAATCTATAACTATGCATAGAAATATTTTTAAAATTTCTGTTAGAAAAATCTAAAAAGTAGCAATTAAATGCCTTTAATTGGTTATTTCTCCTATAATATACGAAAATTTAAATAAAAAAATGTAAAGTAAACAAAAGCGATCTACTTCTTCTTTAGTTTTTTTTCAAACAAAAAAACAATTTCATTGGAAAATAAATTGAGAAAAACGTTTACACGACTAAAGCAGTTCGGCGGATTTATACTAACCTGGACAGTGAAAAAAAAAATAAAAATTTCAAAATTACATTTTTTAGCATGCTAATTATAAATTACAAGTCACAGGTAGTATGAATAGTAAGTATGTTAAGGATTAAAGTTTTATTTTTGTACGTTACTTTACCTTGCAGATGTAATCAATTTGAATGTTAAACTTCAAGGAAATTTTACAGCAGCTTTTTTTCTAAAAAATGATAGCTTGTATAAGTTATATCCTGCAGTTATCTACCTGTGTTGCCAAACCTGTTGTAATAATTGAACTGAATTAAACTCATCATACATATTGAAGTAACTGTACAAACATTTAACTTTTAAAATTTTAGAAGAATTCTTATACACTTTTCGAATTTGAGCATATCACAAATTAAGACGAGACAACAAATTAATATTGTTAATTTTATGAAATTAATATTCGAAATTTAGAGTCTATCTCGCTTTTTTACTCGATAAGTGAGAAAAAAGTGAATAACTATCATGTACTTGTATAACGTAATTTTCGAGTGAGAAGAATTATTTGGTGTTGCGTATCTCGTTTATTTCTAAATTTATTCACTTTTGTCTTTGAAAGTAAGATGTTCAGTTGATAATTTGCAAAAATCCAATTGAAAAAATGAGTAATCTTATTGGAAAAGTCAAACATCCATTAGAAAATACTGAGAATTATGTTTTTAAAGTGAATAAAAAGTGAATAAAAAAGCGAGATACACGATCAGGCTGTAAAATTCTAATTTTCTTTTGTATTGAAGTTTTATCAAAGAAAGTGAGTTGGTGAGTATTTACATACCTATTGTAAGTTTAATGAAAACCAATACATAATGCAGAGCTTCTGTCTATCTTTCTGCTGTGGATTTTTGAGTAATCGGATTTTTAGAGTTAAGGCATGAAATTTTTATATCTAAAATTTTTTCTGTTTCTGTAAAATGCATTGGTATAATTTATGTTCTTCATAGATTATGTGTGTACTCTAAGTACTTATAAATAAAACGCTGGTATATATGTACTTCATGTACTTATGTATGTACCTAAATTTGATTTAGTAACAATAAATTTTTTTTAAAAGCATACAAGAGCAGAATATAAACTTGTAAAAATAAAACCAACAATATTTCAATTTAAGTAAAAAAACTTTAATATATTACAAATATTATAAAGGTATTTTTATGTTCTGTACAATTTTTCAATTACTTTTTCATATTTTTAGATAGGTACGAAATTTATTTTGTATCATACATACAATATATAAAAAAATGGAGTGGTGCATATAAATGATTCAATTAATAATATGTATTAAATTTAAATTTTTATTTAATTATTTAAAATTTAAGTCCTAGTTGAATTAAAAAACATAAAAAAAATCATTTTGGATTTTATTTTTTCATAATTATTTAGATTTCATTAAATTATAATTAAATAACCTTGTGGATTTTATGATTTTAAAATCTCGGTTAAAAAACAGTTTTTCACTATTAATACGCTTTGAACATTATATACATCTAAATACATACATACATATTTTAAAATCTATAAATAAGGATGCTTAATACATAATATTTTTGTATAATATTGAAATGAGTTGTATACTGTTAAATTTTATTTGTTGCGGATTAGTATAAAAAATTTTTAAGAGTAAGATGATTATCCTGTCATTATCGTGTTATTGAAAAATAACTCTTTTAAACGGTTTTAATCAAAACATGCAGGAGCTATGAAAAAGAACTAGGTCTCAAAAACGTGTTCGAAGGTAACGATCACATTTTAATTTTTTTTTTTTCATTTGAATTTATCATTCGATTAAACTATATACTTAAGCGACGGTAGTTTTTGGGGATGAATTTTTTTTTACATATTTTGAATTAATAAAAATTTAATATTAATATTTTTAATATTAAAATTTCGTTTTTAATTTTTTGATGTTTGTTTATAAAAAATCAAATAAAAAAAAAACAAATAAAAAAATAATTGATCACTTAGCAATGAAATTTCATTCAATTTACAGATTATTTGAAAAAATCTCTAAATATTTAAGAAATAATAGATATGTATATATACAAATAAAAATTAAGATATAAACTAAGATAAAAATAAAAAAAAAATTAAAATTAAAACAATATCTGTACATTTATATAAAACAAAAATAATAATAAAATAAATTACAACTAATTTGGCTAAGAAATTCTCTTTTTTCGATTTGGCGATAAAATTTTCAGCATTGTTACAACTGGTGCTTCAAATGATAATGATACAATAAATGACAGTAGATAAGAACAAACCACTAATCCAAAGAATGTTATGACCTATATATAAAAAAGGCAGAAATTAGAATAACATTAACATGAATTTAATACAATCATACCATTGAATCAGATCCTAAATGTAATGGTGCATCAGAATTTAATGCTAAAGCTCTTATAACAATTGGATGTACTAAATATGCACAATAGGTTACTCTTGAAAATGGATAAATACATGATGCTGATAATAATGAATTTATAAAACCACCATATCCAGTTGAACAGGCTATTGTAATCCATGCTAATGATAGTGCCCATGCTGAATGGCTTAGTGAACTATATGCAGCTGCTGTTACTTGTGATAATCTTGTATTATACAATCCAAAGATTAATAATAATAAAACAGTAATTGATGTTGTCCATCCCAAAAATACTGTCATTTTATTCATACGAATTTTGCAATTCGATTTAAATAATATCCAACCAACTGACATACCAATCAAATATGGACCTAAACGTGTCCATGGTTTATCATAAATTTTATCAAATAATGCTAATGGGTCATCTGTATTTGGCATATGATTATGTGTAAATGCTATTATTGCTGTTGTTATCCATGATGATATCAAAAATAGGGCTAAAGTTATTGTTGCAATTTTCAAATGACGTACAGCAACAATTAATATTATTGCACCAATAATATAAAATTGTGTATCATTAGCTAAATACCAACTCCAGAGCATGCACTAAAAATTCAAAAAAGAAAATAATATTTAAACTGTGTAGAAAGTAATATATGTACATGTAGATATGTTAAAAAAAATAAAATAATTTAATTTACCATGTCATCTACAGGGAATAGTGTGTTTATGTATAAAACATTTCTCCACCAATATTTTGGGCAATTAACATGATCTAATGTTGGGGGCTCAAATACTGAATTCGAGGCTAAATATTTCATTGAAACCTCAACAATTCCAAGTACAAACATATAAGGAGCAGTTAACCTTCAAATAGTTATGATAATATAGAAATAATTAATAAATAAATAATTATAAAATTATACTATGACTTCTATACCTTACAAATCTGTATCCAACTAAACCCAAAAAGTGAAATGTTCCAGCTGTTACTTCATTAACACCCTTGGAAAGTTTCTTTAATTTACCTTTAGCATTTGTTCTAAAATATATAAAAGAAACAAGAAATCCACTAATGAAAAAGAATGTGTCAACACTAAATGGTCCATTTGTGACAGCTTGAAATAAAAAATTCTTTTCAACTTCTTTTCTTAATTCCATATTATCCGAATATTTGAAAACAACAATACAAGTATGTCCCAATATAACCCAAGCCATTGAGATAGCACGAAGACCATGTATTGACGGTATTGTATCAGATCCAACGTTACGATCACAGATTGCATTAAAATTTGTTATAATCGAAAATGATAATAATAATTCAGAATAAACACTTAATTTTTTTGGTTCATGTAATTGTAATTGAACATCAGTATGTGAATCGGTTTGTGCATCATGATGATTAATATGATGAAGATGGTGGTGATGGTGGTGGTGATGATGGTGTAAATCAAGTGGATGATGATTATTTTCATCATTTTGTGGTAAACTCAATACTAAATTCAATTCTTTTAAATCTTTTTTTAATTCTTGTGTAACTGTATCGCTATATTCTGATGAACCTGAGCAACCAATACCGGATGATGTTTCACTGTGTGTTGTTTCTTTATCATCATCAACAATAATTTTACTTTTATAACGACGTATTAAATAAATATCATATATTGTACCGAAAATCATTAATACAAAAACAATTACTGTGACGAAACTAAAATAAAAAAAAAATAAATGTAGTTAGTTAAATAATTCAGAATATTCTGTTTTTGTGCTCTATTTTCTAAACCATTTTATATTCGCAACTTACAACAAAATTAAAAATGTTTTATCGGACCACATGTTGTATGGATTTAAAGTTGGTGATCTAATATCCATTATTGTTAACTCTCTGTTTTGTAAATCAAATTGTGAAGCTTCCGTCAAATATTTGACATCATTTATACCACAACTTGATGGTAAACAAATTCCAATATGAATTGTTCGAATCTATGCATCAAAAATCATGAAAAAGAATTTACATAAGTACGAATAATTTTTATATATTTTTATATGTATATGTATGTATATATAAAAATCAAAATTTACCAAATGTGCCATCATTGTTTCATTAACACGAATTTTTAATACATAAAATCCTGGCATAAATGGTGGATTTTCATGTTTGATGTGTTTCATATGATAATGTCCTTTACCGTATGATATATCATTCTTTTTAGATTTAGAATTTTCTTTATGGTTGTTAATTTCATTCTGTTTTTTATAAATACTCTGGCATAGAGACAAGGATCCCATCCAATAATTATTACCGTAAAAGAAACCAGATGTATAATGTCCAGAAGCGTCATCAACTGAAAAATAGAGATAAAATAAAATTTTTTTGGTAATTTTTTGTTTAATACAAGTAGCAATTATTTTAAGTAAAAGATTAAATGTATTAAAATGATATTAATTGAGTCACCGATCAATTGAAAGAAAATGAATTGTACTAAATCTGATAATAAAGATTTGGTTTTTATGAAATTGGCAAATATGTTTGAAAATTTTCATTGTTTTTTTATCGACTCACAATAATGTGTCAGCCATATGCGATAATAATGGTTTTGCTATCAATAGTGAATTTATATAAAAAATTCATTTCCTAGATTTATTTTTTCAAAAATTGATGACTGATTGTTTAGGCATATAGTTAGAAAATCATTCTACATGGAAGTTGTCTTTACATACAAATACCTATAGATAGAATGCTCAAGTTGAAATTTAATATTATTTGGACTTGCGAGAAGCGTTACATTGGATTTCAATTTAAAAATTTCTGAAAAATGTGGTTCGCTTATTGCATTGAGTTCCACAGAGCTGAAATAAGTTACTTTTTCTGTGGTAGAAAATTAATTTTGTCAAGTTTTCTAGATAAAAAAATTATACTAATTATTCATGTAAAATTTAATAGGAATTTTTTTTTTTTAGTTTCCTACACGTTATTATAAAGTCTACTTATGTATGTTACGAGAATATAAATCCCAACTTGTTATTAACAATAATCTAATACTATGCATTTTTTAATTTTAATTTAATTACATTTTAAATAATAATTAAATATTAGTAGAACAATATTTAAGTTGTTTTAAATACGATATAAGTCTATATTATTGTACACATACATTCACATATTGTGCGCGAAGGTATTTTTTTTATTTTGTCCTAAAAATTTTAACAAGTTGTGCTAGTTTCTCTTAAATGCAATTTCTCTTATTTTTAATACAAAAATTCCTTCTCTTAAAATGAAATCACAAAATACGATAAAAGAGTAAGAAGTATAGAAGAGTATTCAAAACATTTTTCCATGAATTTTTTTTTTGAAGATGGTGTTATGTAATATTTGAAGGTAAATTTTATAATACGTTGTTGAATATTAAATTCATTTCATGGAATACCAAATAGTGAAGATATTCTGAAGTTTTGTTGTTGGTTAGCTTTAAACTTGATTTGGTAGCGCATTTAAATTTATAATTTAATTTTATTAGAAGATAAATTTATTGTTATACTCACTTTCTTTGCAGTATAACAATATTTTTTTATTGAATCAGACTTTTATAATCTTCAATCGTTTAACTTAATTATTTTATTTTCAAAATCATTTATAATTGCTTTGTTCTTGACTAATATTTTTTTTAATAATTTGACAATTGTTTTTCAAAGAATTTTCTTTTGATTTAATTTTTTCCTTCAGTCGTTCACTGTACATGCTCGTATTTCAACTTGTTCTACAATTTTTTAGGAAACTAGTGCATCAAGATTTCAGATCTCAAAAGTTATCCAGAGAATTACCTCAAAAGAATAGACATAACATTGTTATGTATCATACTTTTGAAAAGAACGAAAACCGGCCCTCATCAGTTTTGTAAAAAGCTCTCTTTATTTTACGAACTATATTTATTTTAGACTTTTATTTTGAGGAAATTATTTCAAAGCTCTGTTATTTTTAACTCAGCATTTCAGTTTTGCAAAGCTCAAAATTAAGCCTTGGAGTTGTTTTTACCACAAAAAAAAATTGGTGCCGTATATTCCCGAAACAAAAAATTTTCTAAATTTCTTTAAAAGGGAAAAGCTAGCCAGTAAATGCTATGCCATCAAAAAACGTAATTTTTTATTTTAACTCACTTATTTAACCGAATTTTTTTTTTTCATATTTTACCAGGGTTCGATCCAAATTTTCCATTTTTATTAAAACATAAAATTGGAATCAAAAAGTTGTAATAAGGGAAGAACGTCATCAATTAAGTTATGTAAAATAAATTACCCTGTCAATCATACGTACTCTTAAGTGCATCTTAGATGCATCTATGATTTAATACTTTGTCTTTTGTTGTAGAAATTAAAAATCTGCCCTTGAAACCAAATTTATGTATTTTATAACATTTTATACAGGCATATTCAGTAAAATTCTGGTCGAAAGTCATTGTTCATGCCATTTTTTTTTTTAAATAATAAATAATTACAAATGCAATTGTTTGATTGTGAAGTTTTTTGCTAAACTAATACTCGTAACTATGATGGACGTTTTAATGATGAAAAATGGCTATTATTAAATCTAATAACAGCTTACTTGCGGAGTAACTAAAGTAAAAAATAATAATGAAATTATAAGAAATTAAATGTGAAATAAATAAATGCATTTTCATAAAATTAAGCATACAACAATGCTCAGTCTAATTAATTTTAATTAAAGTTAATTATTTCAGCTTGAAGTCGCCCTCAAACAAATTCAAATGGTTTTAATAAAGTTCTGAATTTATTTAAATTCTTGAGACATAACATAAATCTTTTAAAGTCATTAATAACTCTTTCGAAGTGGAAAAATATTAAGAATTTTGGATATTTATTTTTAATGGTGGATTTGTAAACAAATTAGTATGAGATTATTCTTGAAGTAAAAACTGCATTAAAAAAAGATTTCTTATTTGCAAATTATTAATATTTGCTAGTAAAGTATAAATATTAGAGTTAAAGATATCAATATTTGTTGCATTTAAATAAAAAATAAAAATAGATTTTAAAGCTGAAGATTTAGAGCAAGAAATGCATACAATTTTAAGAACGCAAACTGTATTGTTAGCTTTGCAAACACTTTATTAATTTAAGATATTAGTAATACAAATGTACTGCAACAAAGCAATTTCAAATTTATTTATATTATTAGTGGCGTTGAGCTTTATTTGAATATGATTTGATATTTGTCATTCGGTTAAGTTTTTGGTTCATATTTATTTTTTTATAAATATGAAAATCGAAAAAGTTTTAAAATTTAAAATAAAAAAAGGGAAAGATTTCAAATTTTACTTGAATAAATCATTTTAAATGATCACTTTGTGTATCCGCGAATATTCGAATCACATAATGAATGTGCAATGAGCAACGAGCAATGTTGCAATGAGCAATGAATAGGACCTGTGTTCATTGAATTATAACACTCAGTGTGTTAATTTTTCACATGAATCCTATAAAATGTATAATTTTTGCAATTTTTGGATTTAAAAACATCTTTTCCAAGTATTTGCAATATTAGATATGTAGATTTCATCCAGAGAACTGTGTCATTTGTACAAAAAAGTCACTTCAATTTTAATCTAAAAATTTAATTAGAAATGTTTACATGTTTTTTAAATTTTTAGCGCTCATTCCAAACAAAATTATAGGAAAAACAGATTTAGAAGAGAATCACATTTATAGACATAATTTATCTGTGGAAAAATTAAAATTCGATGCCTGTTAACAGACAAAATCTTACAATTGCTTTATTTTACATTTTAATTACATTTGCAATTAGTAGAAAATAAGAACATAATGAATACTTGTGAAAATTTTAGAAACTATATAATAGATTAAATATGTACAGAATAATATTTATTTAATTTTTTTCTTCTAATTGACGTCATTAATGAGAAATTAGGCTCCATAAATGAAATACCATTACTTTCCTATATTGAAATTTAACAGTTTTCAAAGGAAATATTTTAAAAATATAGATTAATAAATAAAAATTTAGATATTTTAAGTTGAAAACGGAACAAGAGCGATTTTCCGCGACGAAATGTATGAGTTCATATAGAATACACATATTTAAATGGCACTGCCTAGAATCAAACGAAATTACCGCATACCTTTACCAAAGGCTTTACGCCCTTTCATATCAGCAAATTTAATAATTATGTCCGAATAATCTAAAAAACGTGATATTTCATGATTAATATTTATAATTGTTAGTTCATTTGGTCAGTCTTGACACATGGTGAATTATTTCATTGTAACTTACGCACAATTGAAAATATTTAACATCTCTTCATTAAAGACATACTCTGCAATTGAAATATGTTGTTTAAAATATTGAGTTGTTAATTTGAGGCCTTGCAGATAGTGAGGCACAGGGTGAATGACCCTATTGACCCCCCCCCTGATAGAACCTTTGTATGTGACATTATATGCAAAATACTGTACAGTTGATTTTACGGTTCCAATAATGTTCTGGGATAATAACGAAAATCGTCTGCCGCTGCCGTTCTCTGCTCTTGTTATGTTTTTAAAATTAGGAAATAAATTTAAAGAAAAAATGCATTGCAGTATTTTGTTTAGATTAAAGACTTTCATAAACTGCAATATTGCAAAACAATAACTGCGGATTGAAAAAACAAAATGATGAAATATACAATATATTTTTAACTATTCTACAAGATCAAAACATTTCGCATAGTTTGAGTGCGTGTCTCTTACTAATTTCGCTGTATTTGGAAAATTTAGTTAAGTTTGAGAACCCTTGATTTGCAATATTAATTCGTGAATACATTGCGTTTATGTAAGGCCTATTATCGTAATGTGTGTACTTTATCCAGCCTAAAAATATTTGGAACAAAAAAAATTAATATTTACTCACTTGTCTTTTTTAATGTAAAAGATGTTTTCAAATACATACAATACAATTAGTAATTTAGACTCAAATAATTAAACAAATTTTATAGTTACAAATATTTTTTATAATATTAATGACATACATTTATAATAACGCGTGTGTATGACTAAAGCTATAATTAATTCTTTTTTTTTAATGTTTTAATCAATCTTTTGTATACTCGCTAATATGATTATTAATTTCACATCTATTTAGATTATGAAAATATGAAATTTTACAAACATGTACACATACATATATACTAATTATGAATGTTTAGATAATAATATTTAATAAATTAATATAAAAAACAAAATCTAGGTCGAATATGGGTAAAGAAATTTCTTGTTTTTTTTTTAATGTAGTTTCTTTATTATTTTATAAAGAGATAAAATAAATTTCTTCAGA